GAGCTTAATTGAGTTCTCGTTTATTGTAGAGAACAAATCATTTGTTATATTGTGAGCCTATTTGTGAAGATCACTTTATAATACACTTGTACACCGAGAGGAGTGTGTGGTGAGAGACGGAGTCGCCCCAAGAGGAGTGAGGTAGGTGGTAATGCCTAGAGGTATGTTGTAATTCCTAACACTTGAGGGAGACACGGGCTAGAGACCAACACTTGAGAGGGTGTAAATTGTGATTGTAAGAGTGTGTTATTGTGAGGTGTAAACATTGTTTGGGTTAGCGTAGAAAACCCGGTTGTGATAGTGTAGATCTCCTCGAGGTGAGGAGCGGAGACGTAGGTCGTGAGGACCGAACTCCGTAAATATATCGTTTGTTTGTGATTGCATTGGCGCACTTATTTTTATGTTCATATCTTATATCGCCTTTGTATATTGCTTGTTGCTTATATTGTTACTATCTAGTTTAGATTGTTTACCCTTGTATTATTTGTATATCCTCGCATATATCTCATAGCATATCTCATTGTTAGGATATTTTCCTTTGTTCATATTGCATACTCTTGCTCATATCATATTGTATATCTATCTTGCAAGAATAATATTTGAATTAGTTTTAATTGGCATAAAATCAGATTAGATTAGCATAAGATCCTAATCATCCCCCCCCCCTAGGGTCTAACATTAACATGATTTAAATTGGACTTAACATGAAATTAGACTTAAAACAAGTTGAATTAGACTTAACATGATTTTAATTGGACTTAACATGAACCGAATTAGACTTAATATGAACCAAATTAGACTTAATATGAACCAAATTAGACTTAACATGAACCGAATTAGACTTAACATGATTTAAATTAGACTTAAAATGAACCAAATTTGACTTAACATATAATCCATTATACTTAATATTTAACAAATTAGACTTATTTTCAATCTAATAGACTTAACATACACTCCCTTGGACTTAATATTCAACTAAATAGACTTAGTATACAACCCCTTGAACTTCACTTCCAACTCATCAGACTTAATGTTTCACCTTGAATTTGAACTTAACATTAAAAATCATCAAAAAATCATATTTAGCCGGCATTTCTTTAAAATTTCATCTTTCCACGATGTTCAAACAGAAAATACGGATTTCATTAGACTTAACGTCCTCCTCCAACATCATCTCCTTCGCCTCGTTCTTTGCCTTTAGTATCGGAGACCAATATGTTGTTTGATGGATCCTCCGACGATAACTTCGACGAATTTGAGGGTTTCGTCATTGTCATTGTCATTGCCGACCAAATTTGGGCTTGTTTTGCTTTTGGGGGAAAAGATAGAGAGAAAAGATAGAGAGAGCGGGGAAAATTAGTGGGAGAAAAAAACGAATCATGTTGAGTTTTTTCTATATAATATATACCCCCAGATCAACAATATGACCGGAGCGTGTACCTAAATTCGATGGTGGCGAAGGGGGATGTCGGTGTCTGAGAGAAAAAGGAGGAAGAGGGGGAGAGGAGGAAGGAGATGCGTTAGAAAAGAGGAGGAATGATAAGTCATGACTATTAGATTTAGAGAGAAGAATGGAAGAGCTGAGATGAGAGCATTTTGGGATTTTTTTTTTTTTATTCTCTCTATGCTTAGTTAGTAGAGAATAATTACTAAAGAATGAGTGCAGCACATAAATCTCCAATTTAAGAGCTGCAGCACAAGAGAAAAAGTTAGAGGGGCTGTAACATATGAAGTTATTACTTTTGGGGTATTGACATAATTTCCACAAATTATAAACAAGAAAATAATCTTTATATAGCTTAATTGATTTGTTAAGATTCACCTTTAATTCAAACTTCATAGATTTATTTGCTGACGAAAAGGTGAACAAGTACTTTTTGGAAATCATTAGTATACATTCTGAAAACCCTCTTTTCGCTAGAGGAAACGCCATAAGAGAAAGATTAAAAGGTTTGATTTCATAGAGATTTGTCATGTCTATTTGATCTGTAAAGCACCATAAAACCCAAGAAAAAAAAATATCCAACAGCCGAAACCAACGCTACGTTAATCAATCTTCAACAACTACAAACAGTTAACTTCATTATCTTATAATGGGGATCCCAATGAACAGTTACTATTCTATAAATTCACAAAGATTTGAGTACCACATCCCTACAATTTGAATGGAGAGTATCAAATTTCAACTTAGAATAAAGATTAAACCCCTGATTCTACTTTACAAAGATAATCCTGATTGGCCCACTGATCTCACTGATGTCATGCTATTTAAGATAAATAAATACACAGCAGGCTTTAAACCTTAAAATGATGCTATAGCAACTTTATGTGCAAGTTAATTCTATATTGGTCTCTCTCTGATTCTCAAATCTCCATGCTTTTTTATGGAGATGGAGTGAACTACACAATTCCACGTAGGGACTTACGATGTAATCTGTCCACATCTAATTATTTCTTTGTTGTGATATTGTTTCCAATTTGAGAAACACAATGAAAAGGACTCTGGTTTTAATCAAAGATGGTTAAATAACTAAGTCTACGGGTTAGGACCTGGGTTTTAATGAAAGACGCTTAAATAACTAAAACTCTATGGATTAGTAGTGGGACTATTTACTAGGGTGCATTCGGTCCGGATACGGCTCGGATATGATGCTTATCATATCCATATCGCTAAAATTGGATACGTTTACGTATATAGATGCGGGTATATAAGTGGATATGCATGCGCATACAGAACGGATATGATAAAACCAGATAGTATTAAGAAAAACATAGTTCATGTGATACACAAGAGGTCGTTAATATGTTCTTATAACTAAAAAGCTAAAATTAGACATCTTGATCATCAACATTAACCACAAATTCATAATTTAATAATCAAAACAATCGTAAGAGTATGACTAATATGTATTCGGATATTTTAGATACGAATATGGATATTTCACTACAAAACCATATCTGTAACTATATCCTATTGGTTATAGATTTGAGTAACCATATTCATATGCTAATAGATATGGTTATGGATATTCACTCAGATATAGGTACGGTTTAGCACCCCTACTATTTACGGAGCTTTCAGTGTCACTTATGGATAAATGAAAAATGGGTTTTTTTTTCTCTTGCAGAAACCACCTTAAAATAGGACAATATGGTAATCATCTTTTAATTTCAAATTGCACGAACAAGTTTCAAAGTGGGTTCTTATTGGAATCAATCACTTCCACTCAAATTTTAACCAAAAACCTAAAAATAAACTTACAAAAATCAAGTTCAAGGTACAATCTTAACAAGACATAAATAATAAAAAATACTGAGTCACATGTCTTATATGTGAGTTTTCTACTATTAATTTTAGATTTTCAGTGAAAAGTTTGACTGAGAGGTAATTAATCAAATCCACTTATAAGTATTATTTAATATATATATATATATATATATATTATATGTATATATATATTAGAGAGAGAGAGAGAGAGAGAGAGAGAGAGAGAGAGAGAGGAAATGGTGAAGGTGGTTGAGCTCTATCTTTGAGGTGTGATGTAGGGGCAAGATTAGCACATCAATACCAAGTTGCCTCCATTTTTCTCATATGAGAGTAATGAGAAGCTTTACCAAGTTACTCCAAGCATGTTGGTAGTGATGTGGCATAATTTGCCCTACATCACACCTCAAAGATAGAGCATCAACAACCTTCGCCAACTCTAATGTAGATGTAGGGACAAGATTAGGCCACATCACTACCAAGTTGCTTGGAGCAACTTGGTACCAAGTTTCTCTATTTTTCTATATAATATATATAGAAATATATATATATATATATATATATATAGAGAGAGAGAGAGAGAGAGAGAGAAAAATGGGTATACTTGGTACCAAGCATAAATTTTGTGCTTGGTAGTGAGGTGTCTCATTCCCATCCACTCATTCAATTGGGGGACCACATTCAACCCATGTGAATATGGTCCCCCCATTTGAATGAGTGGAGGATAATATGCCACCTCACTACAAAGCACAAATTTTGTGCTTGGTACCAAGCATACCCATATTCCTCATATATATATATATATATATATATATATATATATATATATAAATTAAAATTAAAATTAAAAAATAATGTATGTAGAATTACATTATTTTTAAGATGGCTTTTGATAAAAAAAAAACCCCTTTGAATTACCCTACTGGCCACTTAGACCTAGAATCAAAGGGGTCTATAAATGAAAAGTTGAGTCCAAGAAGTATTGTCTTTTTTCACGTTTCTTGAGGGGAGGCAATGCATAAACTGCTAATCCCAGCTACCTTAAAGCAATTTTCCCGTTAATTAAATATCATGCAAGTCCAACAAGTTGATCCAACGTCAAATCAAAGACTCAACAACCTACCAGGCTCACACCGTTGCTAAAATCCCCTGATCACACTATAATCACAAATCAGACCATATTATGCTGAGCTCCTGCTATCGGTTTCGGGGTAAATTTCACATAAACCCCTAGGCTGACCTATGTTGAGGTCAACCACCTGAACACTAGAAATGTAAATTTTCTCCCTAATTTTTGGGGTGACGCAACACCCAAATTGCATTTTTTTCTACAAACCACAAGTAGGTAATCACCAATTTTTCAACATACCTCCCAACTTTTAGCATTATATTTAGAAAAAAACCCACCATGAACTTTTCTTAAAGTTTTAGAAAACCCCATTATGCCGTTATTGGCTGCAAAAGTTTGGGGTTTTGTGCCATTTTCAAAAGCTAGGAAGGTTAAAGGACATTTTTTAAGTTCAAGGGGATGAGTGTGTGCATCGTATCAGAACACCTCGACCGGTGCATGTTCTGAACTACACACATGAAAAGAGGGATAGTTTGGTAGAATGTTCTGATAAGATTTGCGCTCTAGAATTTATCCCAAAATAGGTAAAAGGATAAGGCAGTTACCAAAAAAACGACCGTATAAGCTTTATTGACCATACATTTTGTTTCTTGGTTTTTCCATAATTAAGAACGAGAAAATAAGAACACAAATGAAATATTTCTGAAGATGAAACAGAGCGCATGTTTAAATCTGAAGACCGCCTTACTCAAAAAAAAAAAAACAAAAGGGAATGCTCCATAAGAAAAAAAAATTTTAAACTTCGCGATCAATCCAAAGAACCTAAATATCACCACATTTCTGCATTTTTTTCGCCTTATTTGATTCCGACTACAGACTTCAAACACTGAAGTTTCTCATCGATCTCTCTGAAATCCGAAGAATCCTTAAAGGAAAGAGGTGGCTGTATACCAGTGAAAACATAAAGATCCCTGATTTCGTCAATGTAGGATGAACGACGGGAATTCTTATAACCCACTATGGTTCGGATCGCAGAAATCTGTTCCCATATATTTTCTTCACCGTACAATCCCTACAATAAAACAAGGTTTGTATGTTCAGCATACATGAACATAAGGAATTAATAAGCTTCTAAATAACCAAACTTAGAACAATAAACTTCCATACTTGTTTCATTTCGAAATATATACACAAACTATACGGTAGTGTCTCCTATTCATTCAGTTCTAACGGAATCATGACATAAAATTTAGTTCCAATTTTGAGAACAATCATATTGACATTAAATAAGTTTGGACTTCATAATTATTTTGAATCAATTGGGCTCAAAATAGACCAGGCTATTCAGTATCCTTTTCTGGAGTCGGATCCTGTCAACTGCCCACTATCAAAAAACCACTATCAAAAAAGTAGTAGTTAAGAGACCACTACTCTATCAGAATCATTGGTTATCTAGTTGATAATTGAGATATTTTTTTTTTAATTTTGAATACAAATTAGGAATGAGTGCAATTCATGAGATATACTAAATGATCAACAATCGTGATTAAAAGTAATGATCTCTCTAGTGCTTTAATAGTAGTGAGGATCCGAATTCATCCTTTCCAGCGCCACCTTCACAACCCAACATACCAAGCAGCAACCATATCATATGAATGTGTAAACACACAAAATATATACCAACATAATAATATACCCCCCAAAAAAAAAGTTTAGAGACACATATTTCAGTTAATAGTTACATACCTACTTTAATTCAGATAGGTGGATCAATCAGTCCTATGTAATGAATATTTGATAGAACTCGATGTGGGTTTTCAAGAGCTAATGGAGAATTGATTAAAAGCTGTATTAACAAAGACAAAATCATTAACCACAATGTACTAATTAACTTAAAAGGTACGAGAGTGCTAAATTAAAAAGGCTTGAAAAGGATATTTGGTGACCACACACCCCCCCATTAATTTGAAGGAGCTTTCAGCTCTTCTGGCAATCATAAATTCAATCCGAAAGGGTGCTTCGCACTCAAGAAATCCAGCCTCGACGCAGTACCACCAAGATAACTAAGTGTAACATGACAACAGCTGACCCTTAATAAAAACCCCGATAATTTTTCGCATGGCCGCCACCAAACGCATAACTGGCATTGCGGCGTGGAAAGATTTCTTAACAAGAAACATGAACATGTGTTATTTTCTATAACTAGGATAGTTTCGTTTGGCGTGTGCACGTCCCCTTCATCTAGGCCTTTGTTATAAGTCTTGCTATATATCTACTATTTTGCCCGCATGCAATTTAAGTAAGTATGTTCTTAATTTGTAGAACCGCTGAAACTTTTATTTATTTATTTAAAAAATAATCTTGTTAAGGGAAAGAAATGTTAGAAAGTGACAGCAAATTATTACGACGGGTAATGGCAACTATATTAACTGATTAATTAAAAGGCAGAAATTGTACCTTAGTAGTAGTAGTAGCCACCAGTTCATCATCGCCGTCCGATAACAATTCATCGGCCGCAGATTCATAACACGAGCTCAAGGCTAACTCCCCCTCTCCTCCTTCAACGCCAGCCTCCTCTTCCGGCTCCTCGGCTTGCGGGCCCACGGCGGGCTGCGAGAGAAGCGACCTCATGACCTTATCAGTACAGGCGGCGCC